GGCTATAGCTTGCCGATAAACCTGCCCCCAGATATTTTGAACACTGCCTGTACGGTGAAACACAGTTTTTCGACCCTGAAACGTCGTAAAACGTATTTTTGTAATTTGCCACCATTTTGATTCTGTTTACGAAGTGATTCAGAAAGACTGAGTCTGTTGATAACAGATTTGAGAGTATTTTTGTTAATAATTGGAAACACTGCAATCGGATACGATTTTGCTTGACAAATACTTGACGTACAACCCGTCAAGATTGTTGAATTTTTGTTCATCAAAAGCCCACTCCAATGGTAAGCTATAAAAATTAGAGTCAGGAGTGCCAGCAGATTCAGTCATTGTGGATCACTTTGTATTAAATATATTAAAGAACGCGACATTATTATGTGGGATGTCTTAATAGTCATTAACGATTTTACGAAAGTTTTTAGGTTAGCAAAGCACACTGAAATGTCCAGTGGAGAATTTTGATAACACGATTTTGATTTCACGTATTTTAGGAGAGCGTTTATGCAAGATTATCTTCCATATTTGTGTTTTTTGAAAGAATTTAGATGAACAAAAGACGACTAGATCATACTTTGACTGTTAAAATTGACATTACCAATCGTCACAACAATCCCTAAATTGATTAAAATTAAAAAAAAAAATTGTTTAAAAACGGCATAAAGAAAGCAAATCACAAAAAAATAGTATAAAAAAAACTTGTTCCGTAAGACCTTGAAGCACTCCTTCTTTAAAATAACTCGTGGCTGTGCCACTCGTTTTTTAAACTTGAATTCGGACTTCAAGATTTGTCTTATGTCATTTGTTTTTTTAATATATACCTACTATTAAGAAACACTATAGGCCAAGAAAGATTAAATGGATTGGCATTAACCAACATCCATAAGAACGTTATAGTAGTATGTTGAAGAAGTAATAAATCATTTTTCCATCATGTACCCTCGTCGACTTGAAACTGATCCCAGACATGTTTAAAGTTTTCTATTTCTTTCTACATCATTGATTCATAAAGTACGTAACTGCAACCGACGCATCGGTTTGTGGTATTTTCTAACGTATATTTAAAATAAATTAGCGCTATAGTACGAGAGGAGGTTCTATGTATTCTTAAACGAGCTATTCTCAAACCGTTTAACAAAAATACCTACAAAAATACACTGGCCGTCAAAATTAACCGGACACCTAAAATTTTGCGATTTTTCACATTGCAATATTTTTGTTATTCTTTGTCGGATTTCAACGAATTTTTGTTTGGATTAAAGAATGAACTTTGCAGAACATTGTAATTTAATTTAATAACATTTCTAGTTTTGTCTTGTAAATGTTATACATACCTAAAAGACGAGAACACTGTTTTTTTACTTATTTTTATACTGAACTGTGATGCGTGACAGAGACAAACTTAAGTTTTTACTGATTCCAGATTATTGCCCATTCTTTTCTGAATTATGTATCACATTTCCCATAATTTTAATTCTTGAGACATGAGAAATATAAACCTTCAAAAAAAGCATTACATTTCCTTTATCAATGAAGTTTTTTAGATTTTTAGTGTTCAAAAACCTAATTGTGCTCTTTTGGTGACATAAGCAATAATTTTCGGTTTGTCTATCTTTTTATGTAGCCTACTTTTTGAACGAATATTTAATAACATTAGAAAACCAACGTCTTTTTCAATGCTTCGTATCCCAGAGGCACTAGAAGATAAAATTTTGAAACAAATTGGTCCTTATTCCGAAAAAAACGGGCAATAATCTGAAATAAGTAAAAACTTAATTTTGTCTCTGTTGCACACTACAGCTCAGTATAAAAAAAAGTAAAAAAACCGTGCTCTCGTCTTTTAGGTATACCATTTACAAGACAAAACTAGAAATGTTATTGAATTAAATTAGTGATTCAAAGCACGTGTACTTCTTGTTTCCGATTCGTGTTGTTTCAAAAGAGTTGCATCTCACTTAATTGATGTGTTTGACAGAGATAACACTTATTAGAGAATGAAACATTACTGCTTCTGGGCCAAGCCCGTTTTACATATACTTTTGTGTGGCGGTACTAGTTTTATGTTGGGGTGGTCAAAAACTTGTTAAAGATTGTAAACACGGTATGTCTTTCGGCAGACTTTACACAAAAAATAATGCGATATGTTGTTCACGATCCTTTATGCTCTATAGGCCTCTACACACGGACGTTGATGTCTTAAGACATGTAAATACATACGTACTATCGGATTCATGAAAAACTAGGATGCAAAACGTAGTAGTTATGTAATAGTTATTTACATTCGTGTGCGGTAACTTACATTTTACAGTGCGAAATGAATTTGAAGCACGACGCGCAGCGGAGTGCTTTAATAATTGAGCA